GCTGTGGGTTCAAGCCCTGCATTGGGCTCTCTGCTGTCATCATGGAGCCTGCTTCAGATTCTCTATTCTCCCTCTCTCTGTGTCCCTCCCCCACTGGCGCGCTCTCTCTCTCTCTCTCTGAAATATTAAAAAAAAGTAGTGAGGCTGGCGTGCTTGAATGGCTCAGTTGGTAGAGTCTCGAAGTCATGAATTCCAGCCCCAGGTTGGGTATAGAGATTACTTTAAAAATAAATAAATAAAAGTTGAAAATTTTAAACAGTGAGGCTGGTGGTAGAATCATTCTGTGTCTTGGCTGTGATTATGGTTCTCCAAATCAATACATTGGCTAAAACTGCATAGACCCACACAAACACACCCATACACAAATGAATGCAGATTAAAAAATATAGTGAAAACTGACTACGGCATGCAGTCTAGTTGAGGTCAATTTCCTAGTTTGATATTATGCAGCAATTTAAGATGTCACCATTAAGGGGGGAAGCTGGGTGAAGGGTACCTGGGACTTTTTGTACTATTTGTGCAACTTCCGATGAGTCTGTAATTATTTCAAAATGAAAAGTAAAAATATAGTGAGACTAGAACAAAATAAGGACCACAGGAGTATTCTTCGGAGGCTGGCTGTATCTCCCTCTCTTGTGCACTGCTGGCCCTCTCTCTGCTTCTGTATGTTATGCAGTGCCTGGTACAGTTGTGGGATCCTACTTGGCAGCCTTTCTTCAAAGTTTGTGGTGGCTGTATTTCACCCAGTGGTCTACGGTTTCGTTGGCAAATCAATAAAGTAAGCACCTCTCATCGCTACCGCCTCTTCCTCAGCCCTAACGCTCAGAAACTTATTGAATGTTTTACTCCATTCCCTTTGATTTTGAAGCAGCCCTGGAGATAGTTGCAGACCGTTCCTAGGCTGTGGACCACACTGAGAACAGCGCTCTAGCAGAATTTCTATTTCTCACCACTGCGTCTTTCTCATGATGCTGCCCCTCTTAACACACTTAACAAAATCATACCGATTCCTTAAGGCTGGCTCAAATAATCTCCTTCAAAATTCTGACTCACCCACTTTGCCTTTTCTTATCCCAAACGGGAATGAATAATGTTTCCTTCCTCTGAACCTATTGCAAAGCAGTTTCAAGGTATGTATGTACAGATCTATTATCTTTCTATGTGTCACTATGCCATAAATCTTGGGAAAGACAAAGGTGTATGAAATGATCTATTGCTCCAAATGAATTTCCTCTCCAGTAGAAACAACAATTCAGTTCAATGGTAAATGCTCTCATGCCAAGAAATTAGTTTGAGCATTGGGGTGAGCATTCAAGGACCTTGTCTAATAAAGGAGATGTACACACAATTCAGTGTAATACAAGGCATGACACCAAAAAGGTCATAAAGCTATATGGAAATACAGAGTATTTAGAGAAAATTTCTAATAAAAAAAAGTTATCAGGGATAAATTGATAGGGAAAGTCACATTTCAGGTGAGGCAGCAAGGGTGGGTAAAACAATGGGGTCAGTGTGAGAGGGAGGGATTTCTACTTGCAGTGAAATTGTTGCGTTGAAGCCTTGATTCAGGAAAGTGCAGGACAAGTTTGGAGAGCTTAGTGGACTTGCTTACTTGGGAGGAAGTTATGAATGAAAAGCAAGGTCTTTTGGCCAGAGAGGGCCCTGAACACCATGGCACAACATTAGATATTATTCTAAAACTTTGGTGAGAGCTAATGAAAATTTTTTTCCAGGTGTCATAACCAAAGCTTAGTGGGAGAAGGATAAGATGGCACCAACAGAGGAGGTCGGAGACTTTACACTGAGGCAGAGGAGGCTCTGTAGGAGGTTATTGCTGTAATAATCTAGGCCAGAGTTCAGGAGTGTGTGAACTAGACTGATAGCAGGAGAAATAGTTATAGATAATAGAAGCTATGTTACAAGTGATGAATTGGTAAGTGAATTGTTCTAATAATTATGGAGGATCAGAGAAAAAAAAATTGATTCTGTTGGCCTGGGTGTTCAAGGAAGGTTTTAGAGAGGAGGCAGTGATAATGGCAGTAATGGCTGGGGTGTCTAAGGACTTAAAGAACAATCAGAGGGGAGAAAAGTATAATGTACAAGTGCTCCTAACAGGTGGTAATAAACATGTCTGACTGCAGTGGAGTGTATCTACAAGGTAATGGGAGTGAAACTTGACAAACCAGGAGTTACTTGCAGGCAGAACTGAATTTCAGCAGAAGCTTCGGCTTGGTGTACCTGGGTGGCTCAGTTAGTGTCCCACTCTTGATTTTGGCTCAGGTTCGTGACACTGACCATGCGGAGCTTGCTTGGCATTCTCTCTCTTTCTGCCCCTACTACACCGCCCTCTCTAAAAAAAAAAAAAAAAAAGTGTGCTCAATGAATTTGTGTTGATTGAATTAATTGATTCATTTTGTCAAGGAAGAATTCTTCTACCATAGGATAACCTTTTATCTTATACTTTAAGTTTGGTTATTAGGACCAACAAATAGGGACCTATTCAGTTAGAGCTGGCTCATATCAGCTGATGAGTACTCACTGAAAAAGTTTTAGGAACTTTGTGAGCAAGTTGACCTCAAGGTGGTAGCTTGAGATGGGCCATTTTGCAAATATTTACATCAAGGAAACTGCCAAATGCTATAAATCAAAGCTTGTTTTCTGGAGAGTTGGTCATTAAACATTTACCAGCACGTCACTGCTATCTCCCCCACTTCTACTTCCCATCCAACTAGGCTCTAGGTTTTCTGAGGACAGAGACCGCGTCTTCTTTGTCTTGTATTCTCAACATACTATTTGGACATTAGTCATGCACAATTAATGTTTATAGAATAAATGAAATATGCTCTTGTAATTTTTCTCTAGACTGACCATTTAATTAAAAAAAATTATTTAGAAGAAAATACCTCAAGTAGGCATGTAGACGCTGTGGTTCCAATGAGATCCTTTCCTGTGGTTCAGATCAGATCCTATGCCTGTTTTTGTAAGTGGCTTTAGAACACAGCCACTTATTCACGTGTGTATTGTCTATGGCTGCTTTGTGCTACAGGGCAGAGGCAGAGAATGTATGCCCTGCAAAGCCTAACATACTTACTATCTAGTCTTCCCTGAAAATGTACTGATCCCTATTCATACCCCCACTGCCAATGGTTCTTTCAAAGGTAAGATTACCTCTAAAAAGTGGCATAATAATTATACTGTATATTCTTAGAAATAAATTATTTTATTTCATAAATTGTGCACATACACCATTTTTTAGAAATTAGACATAGATAATTACAGAGCAAGTTCATAAGTGCAGGGTTAGAGATAGTGATTGGTTGTCCAATGGAACTTTCTACCTTGAGAAGTAGTGATTACCTCACATCTAGACGTATGCAAGTAGTCACCCTTCAGCAGTGGGTGTCCGAACTTCAGCAGAGAGCCTTGAGTAACCTCCTCACCTTATTGAACAATGCTGCCTGAAATTTAGCTGATGTCAAATGTCGTCTATATTGCAATTTATTCTTTCAGAACTTCTCTTACGCCCACATTCCAAAGGGGTTCTGCTAAAAGGTAGTCTTCACGTGACTGTTTATCCCCGGAAGAGTTGCATTGTTTAAAAACAGAAATGCAGAATGTCTTTGTATAGTTGAGTCACAGAGGGCTGTCAGGGTTTCCATTTGCGCAGTACTAATAAAGTTAACGTCCTGGGTTCCATATTCCTTACAAGTTATCTTTAAAGACACATGATGACGTCATTTCAAAATCAGAATTCTCCCGGTAAAAATAATAAACATATTTCTTATTTGTACCCATACCATGCTGAAAACAATTTCCCAACTGCTTTTACTGACAACCAGAGTCGGAACTGCAGCAGTTAACTTAATCTAATTTGATAGACTATAAATTGAACATCTCGGCTACATTAAACTGCCCCAGTTGGATGGGCAGTCCGGGGGCACCATCCTGTTTCTGTCCCGTATCTTTTGAAGGCTGGTGTTTACAGAGAATTTGGGGCGCTCGCGCAGGGCTGTCAGGAGAGGCCACTGTCAACAGAGGTGGCCTGATCGCCAGACCAAACCGGGCTGACCCGAGGGCGGGACGCCCTGGCGGTGGGGCAATGACTCCGCAGGATTGCGCAGGGTGGCTACGGCTTCTACTCCATTTTCCCTTTCGTTATGAAGAGGATCATTCTTCCATTAACTCAGCTTCCAACTCCCGCGCACGGGGCAGTAAGATCAAGCATTTTAAATCCTACAAGTAGGCAAATGGAAAGATGTGAAGTGACAGCACACCTCGCCTGCATTTTTACTCCCCACCCGTCGAGGTACCGGCAGCGCGCACTGGTGAGGCGAGCGTGACGCCGCGGGGAGGGGCTGGGCATGGCCACCGCGGGGTATGAAAGGGGCGGGGGACACGACCTGGACCACCAGCGCGCAGGCGCACCCGCGGCTGCAGCGCCCAGTGGTCGAGCCCCCTTTCTAGTAATTTCGCTAGTCGTGAGGTCATCACAGCGCGCCGTTACAGTGCTTCCCAGAACCCCCTACCTAATTTTTTTGGCGAAGGGAATGAAATGAAAGAACTGACTTCTCCCACCCCGCTTTGCTTTTAGTCCTCCATTCTGGCTGCGCCCACCGTCTGAGTAATGGAGCGGGAGAAGGAAAGTAAAGCAGCCGGAGCTGGAAGCAGGGCCGGCCGGGCATGACTCGGCGACGCCGCCAGCTGAGTTACCCGGCGTGCCCCGCGCGGCGCCGGCCGAGGGACGTGGGGGGAGGGGCGGGGAGGAGGAAGAGCGGCGGCGGCTGCGGATGTCGCTGCGACCGAGCGGCGTCTGAACACACGGCGGCTGCTGAGCGCCCGACCCGGGCCTGCGCCGGAGCCCACACCGAGCTCCGCGGCCCCTCGCCTGCCAGGGCGGCCCTGCACCCGTTGTCACTGAGGCGGCGTGCCCAGCATTCTCCACTGCCCGGGCCGGCCGGCTCTGCCGTCTGCTGGCTCCCCCTCGCTCGCCCGCTCCCTCCTGCGCGCCTGAGTCACCGCCGCCGCCGCCATGGCCGAGAGTGGTGAAAGCGGCGGCCCTCCGAGCTCCCAGGACAGCGCCGCCGCGGCCGAAGGTGCCGGCGCCCCCGCGGCCGCTGCCTCCGCGGAGCCCAAGATTATGAAAGTCACCGTGAAGACCCCGAAGGAGAAGGAGGAGTTCGCCGTGCCCGAGAATAGCTCCGTCCAGCAGGTGAGGGCCGCCCTGGCCTCGGGCCCGGGTGGGGGTGGCGGCAGGACCTCCGCCCGCGGCGGGAGGAGATGGTTTCGGAAGGGCCTGGGAGGGGATCGTCCCCCCGAGGTGCGCTCGGCCCCTCTCGCGAGTGTCTTCCCGAATTAGATCACACCCAAGTGTCTGGGTGTGCTTCTTGGGACACCGCAGAGGCTTGTGGCGGGGCCCCTCGGCCTGTTTGTGGGACGCGCCGACGCCACTTCCCTCCGCGCCCTCCTCCTGCTCCAGCGTCCGCCGACCACCAGCCTCCTCCCCCAGCTCCCCGCCCCCCGCCGCCTCCCTCCGGCTCCTCACAAAGGAAAGGGACCACCGCCGGGCTCCGGGCGGGGTGGAGGCTGGGCTAGGGCGAGGGTTCGCTCTAGCCTCCTTTGCGGTTTTGTCTCATGAATTAAAAAAAAAAGGGGGGGGGAGGGGGTGGAGTGCTCATTGTTTTACCTGCCTGCGGGTTTAGGCAGATTTTGGGGTGGGGAGCACGTGTACCTTTAGTTTTGCGTTTTGATTGCTGCAATTGCTGCCTTTCAATCTTCAAGAAAAAAATTAACCGTGACGTAGAAATCGCTTTCAGTCTCACATCTTAATAGTACTAGGTTTGAGGAGAAAGGTGGATGACTTTCATTGATGACTTGCTGTTTTCTTTTTAGTGTATTTATCTATCATCCTTTAGGTGCTAGTCGTTGGGAAGGTTTTTGTTTGCTTTTAGAGGGATGATAGCCACGTTTTGCAGATACTAGCAGTTACAATCGAATAAAAGAACAAAATTGGAGTTAATAGAGAATATCACCAAATAATTTACTACGTAAAATCTGTTTAGGTATACAAACTTTGCTGTTTAATTAAGAATCTTGAAGAATTCCAACAAATTTGTTTTAGCTTTTTGTTGAATATACATCTCAGAATATTTCCCATAATTGTCGAATGGATCCCTGATCATCTCAGATAATGTGAACAGGTTCTGAGGAACCAGTTCCTGAAATGTACCTATAAGTCCCCTCCCCTACCCCCCCAGTGAACGATTGGGATATTGGTTTATATAGTTCTGAAAGGTGGTGTGTTTTGTAAAGCAGTAAATAGACTGTGTCATCAAGTGAGAAACTTTTATCACCTACTCTGAATCACCATTTTTTTTTTGTATTCTATAAAAATTTCCCTTAACATTTTTGTATTTTCCAACATACAGGAAAGTTGAAAGAATTGTACAGTGAACATTCCTGATGTTCGTCACCTGCAGTTGACATTTTGCTGTATTTGCTCTATCACACAACTAATCATTTAATAGTCACTTTTATTTTTTGGATGCATTTCAGAGTAAGTTGCAAATATCATTAAATGCTTTTCACACATACATACACCTGTGTCATTCAAAGCTGTAGAACTTTATAATTCTCAAGATGTAGAACTTTATAATTGACTAGATATTTCCTTCTTGCTCTTTGCCAGTCCCTTCAGTCACTCCCCTCCATCCACCACTGTTTTGATTTTTTTTGCCATTAGTTTTCCCTGTTCTGCAACTTCACAGAAGATTTTTTCAGTCAGCATAATGTTTTGAGATTAATTCTTGTGTGTGCTTTCAATTTCTTTTTATTGCTTTGTTTTCCACTGTATGAGTACATCATAATTTCTGCAGGCTCTTGTTGAGGACTACCTGGGTTGCTTGTGGTTGGTTGCTGTGAACACCCATGTACAATTTTTGTTGTTGTTGGACAGATGCGTTTTCTCTTGTAAAGTACTTAGAAGTGCAATGACTGGGTGATAGGATAGTTGTAGCTTTAGATTTATAAGCAGCCATGTTTTTAAAAAGAGCTTCTATCAACTTACAGTTCCACCAAAGGTGCTTGGGAGTTCCTGTTGCTCCACATCCCTGCCAGCATTTGATAGTGTCAGTCTTTTACATTTTAGTTTTTCTAGTGTGTGTGTAGCCATATTATCTTTTGAAGCCCTGGGGTCTTCTTTCTAGGATTCCTAGTTCAGGTTTCTACCTTCCTACCTGCTTTCAGCATTTTATTGTATAAGCTAAGAAAAAAATCAGTATTTTATAAATAGAAAAAATCATTTAAGTCTTTTGATGATGTTCTGTCTGTAGGATTGTTTTTACATCTTGTGATGGTGAAGTTAGAATTTTAAATTCTGTGGATATTTTATTTATTAAAAAAAATTTTTTTTAATGTTTATTTATTTTGAAGGACAGAGAGACAGAGCCGTGAGCAGGGGAGGGGCAGAGAGAGAGGGAGACAGAGAATCTGAAGTGGGCTCCAGGCTCAGCTGTCAGCACAGAGCCTGACGTGTGGCTTGAACTCACGAACCGTGAGATCATGATCTGAACCCAAGTCGGATGCTTAACCTACCGAGCCACCCAGGTGCTCCAAATTGTGTGGAAATTTAAATTTTTCTATTCTGTCACCAAAGTAAAATTTTGATAAAATGAAAGCTTTTCCAAAGCAACTTATTCTGATGGCAGTGGAATTTTTATTCTGAAAAATGTTTTATATTGAAGCAGAAAACATGATAAAAAACACGTGACACTGCATCAAGAACCTGAAGACAAGTTGAACTGTCTTGTGGGGTCTAACTATATGTGTTAAGGAAAACACAAGAAAATATGTGAGTATAAGAAAAGCAGTTTTCAGATGATTTGTAAAATTCTACTTGAAGCACAATAAAGTATGTCATTTTGTACCTTAAATTTTTCTTAGAGGGTTTAATAGATTTAAACTATATGTTACAGATTAAAATTTGTCATTAAAATATATTTGATGATACTAAGATTCCATGTTCAGTAAAAAATTGGGAAATATTTCAAACTGAAAAATTTAATCTTAGAGATAAAGATAGAATTCTAAAAGGAGAGCATTGAAGGCATAGGTTTTCTGTCAGGCAAATTCCATATTCTACAATTTGGAATCTTTTTCAGTAAGTGTTTCTGTGTAATGTAAATTCTGTTAGTTCATTATGCTGAAATGGTATTTATATGAATGTTCTAATAATTGGATAAAACTAAGCTTTCTGGGTCAGTTGTAAAATATGTTGTCAGGTAGTAACTAATTTTCCTGTTTTGCTCTCAGGTTCTGTTTGAGTGTGTATAACCAACAGGCAGAAACAGGATACCTTAATACAGTTGGTATTTAATACTACTTGTTTGGGGTTGATAACAACACTTTTTTAAAATTAAAGGGACATTTACTTTTCAGCGAGCAGTCAATTGAGTAACGTTTAAATTTCTAACTAAAGGTAGTTAGAATGTGAACTTACCTGTGTGTTTCAAGGTGGTTTTGTTAATAGGGGTTTACATAAGTAGATTAAAAAAAATAGTTTAAGTGTGTGGTGGCACAAAGTCCCTGTGTATGAGATTATTATTCTATTAATTATTCGTTTTCTGCTATCGGAAATAGTTTGAGGACCTCCAAATGTCAACAAGTGAGATGAAGTCCGGAATGGGGGTCGGGGGTGCACGCACGTGTGTGTGTGTGTGTGTGTGTGTGTGTGTGTGTGTGTGTCAGTGAGTCATTAAAATTAGTGCAGAGAATGGACAGGAGCTTCCAGGGAACATCTAACTAGCTTGTTCTGGGATTCTGTAAGCTCTCTAGGTTATAGTGTAAGATGGTGAAATATAGTTACCTGAAATATTCAGGCAGCCTATATTCAAGTTTTAGAAAACATTTTCAGGGCACCCGGGTGGCTCAGTGGTTAAGCGTCTGACTCTTGATTTTGGCTCAGGTTGTGATTTCACGGTTCATGAGATCGAGCCCCACATTGGGCTCTGCACTGACAGCGCAGAGCCTGCTTGGAATTCTCTCTCTTCCTGTCTCTGACCTTACCCTGCTCACGTGCGGCTGCATGTGTGCTCTCTCTCTCTCTCAAAATAAAGTTAATTTTTTTCATCACTTGAAACTTTTAGAAAACTATCAGTGTAACATAAATATTGTATTGCATATAATTGAGCCTTATCTTGCTAAGGGAAATTGCAGTGTATCAGGGTCATCATTATAAACATTGAACATTATACTTTATGATGGGTCCAGAACTGTGCTGTCCACTTTGGTACTACCAGCCCATCTGGCTGTTGAATGCTTAAAATATGGTTGAACTGATTTGGAATGTGCTGGAAGTGTTAAAATACAGCAGATTTTGAAAACCTGTGCCTGGCTTCTATCACTTAACACAATGTTTTCAAGGTTCCTTCATGTTAAAGCATTTATTCGTTCTCCCTTTTTATTGCTGAATAATATTCCACTGTGTGGGCATATATCACATTTTATTTCTCCATTCATCAGTTAATGAACATTTGGGTTCTTCTTTTTGACTATTCTAAATAATGCTCTGTGAATAACTCAGAAGGTTTTGTGTGGACATGTGTTTTTGTTGAGTGTGTACCTATGAGTGGAACTGCTGGGTCATGTTGTAGGTCTATGTTTAACTTTTTGAGGAACTGCCAAACTATTTTCCAAAGTGGCCGTACCATTTTATATTTCCACCAGCTATGCATGAGGATTCCATTCCCTGTAACATTTGTTATTGTCTGTCTTTGATTATCACCATCCTAGTTGGCTGTGAAGTGGTATCTCATCGTGATTATTTGACTTCCTATTGCGCAAACAGCAGTTCTCAGTGTGGTCTGGGGGGGTCCCCAATACCCTTCTAAGAGGACCATGAGATCAAAACTGTTTTCATAAGATTTCTGTTATTTGTATTTCTCACTCTAATTCTCTTAAAAATCAACAACACTTTTTCAGAAGCTGTAAGATGTGGGATATTGCAACAGATGTGAAAATCCAGTTGTCTTCTGTTATGAGACTAAAGTAATCTGCAAAAATTTAAAACTATGCTACTCTTCACACTGGGGAAATATAGTTACTTTTTATAAGAATGTTATTTATATTGACATGTAATGAATTTATTATTTTTAAATGAATACTTAAAGATGCCTCAGTTTTAATTTTTAATATAGCAAACATCAGTAGATATAA